CCTAATTAAAGTATTACTTCCTGGTTAGACTTCAAACCTGCTGATTCCCACAAATTTGCCTCAGCCTTTATTCATCTTCATAAAAAAGTTGGAAACTTCACTCATTTCACTAAATTAACCAATGAAACAGCAGACAAATGAGTGATGAAACCGAGTATTTATACGGGGAGAGGTGATTACTGAGTGAGAGCAGCTGGGATGATTAACACATGAGTAACAGCTGTGAGAGGCTGAGAGGCCAACAATATGAATGAGGAAAGATAATTTCAAAGAACATACAAATAAACAAACCCACAGCTTTAACACCATGACATAATAAGCATTTAATGATTTTCTGCCTTTTTACAATAACAAAACAACAAGCTCTAATTAACATCATCACCAACATTCAGTTGGAGTCACAATGAACTGAATGACTGGATCAGACAGTGACTCGTTTTTCTGTTCATTCACTCATTAAAATAAAATCTGTAGCGGTTTGCTAAACTTTTCACAGCTAACTATTGATTAAAGCCTTTTTACACATAAAGGTTTAGCCTCCGAGCTCAAGTATAAACCAGTTACATCAAACAACCCCTTTTTCATTCATTTTCCCAAGCTCCTAGTGACACAAAAAATGTTTTGTCTAAAACAGACAAGATTGTATTTGTTCCTGTTTCGATACATTGATTCATTGTTCTCTGTGCTAACTAAGCTAGCTGCCATGTGATTGATGATCCATGGCCTGCAGCGTACGTCATGTAGATTAAAACAGGAAACAGCTCAGCGCAAACTCAGTTCTGCTCAAACTGAAAGATGTCAGCGCTGTTAAACTGACCTGCATCAACCAAGGTAAATAATGTCAATCTTTTTTTAATTAAAATTGGTCATATGATATTTGAAGGCTGTAAAAGAAATGACAACAATAACGTTGATGACCATGGATTACATCTTTTGTGAACTAAATGAGCCTGATTATTTGTGCTGACTGATGTCCTAGCCCATGTTTTATCAATGAGACCTGCCTTCTTCCTACGTGGTGTCTGAGATATGTTGACCATAAAAAAGAGCCACTGTGACCTGGATTTCCCTTTGCTGTCATCCCTTTCACCTGCTCAACAATCTGCATCAGTATGTGTGTCAGTTACAGTTGAGAAAAAAGTCAGAATTCTGAGAAAAATGTCAGAATTCTGAGATCAGAGTAAGAATTCTGAGGGGAAAAAATCAAAATTCTGAGAATAAAGTTAGAATTCTTAGATTAAAGTCTGAATTATGCGATCAAAGTCAGAATTACTGTTAAAAGTCAGAATTCTGAGAAATAAGTAAGAATTCTGAGATAAATAGAATTCTGAGATCTAAGTCAGAAATTCTGAGATCAAAGTCAGAATTCTTAGAAAAAAAGTCAGAATTCTGAGAAAAATATCAGAATTCTGAGATCAAAGTCAGAATTTTGAGATAAAAGTCAGAATTCTGAGCTCAGAATTCTGAGATCAAAATCAGAATTCTGAAAAAAATATCAGAACTCGGACAGCTAAGTCAGAATTCTGACTTTAAAGTCGGAATTCCTGAATCAAAGTCAGAATTCTGAGAAAAATATTAGAATTCTGAGATCAAAGTCAGAATTTTGAGATAAAAGTCAGCATTCTGAGATCAAAGTTAAAATTCTGAGTTAAAAGCCAGAATTCTGAGAAAAAATATCAGACTTCTGAGATCAAAGTCAGAATTTTGAGAAAAATATCGGAATTCTGAGATCAAAGTCAGAATGCTGACTTTAAACTAAGCATTCTGAAATCAAAGTCAGAGCTCTGCAAAAAATATCAGAATTTGGAGATCAAAGTCAGAATTTTGAATTAAAAGTAAGAATTCTGAGAAAAAAATCTGAATTCTGAGATTAAAGTCAGAATTCTGCAATCAAAGTCTGAATGATGAGTTAAAAGTCAGAAATCTGAGAAAAATAGTAGAATTCTAAGATCAAAGTCAAAATTCTGAGATAAAAGTCAGAATTCTGAGATCAAAGTCAGAACTTTGAGTTAAAAGTCAGAATTTTGAGATCAAAGTCACAATTCTGAGTTAAAAAGCCAGAATCTCTTTCTTTTGTTTATTTTTTTCTTTTCAGTGGCCCTAATCATTTTCTGTAATGAGTGCACGTTGATGTCTGTGCGTGTTTCAGACCCCTGCAGCATGACAGCATCTTCTGGCAACCCAGAAACATTCTGTTACACACCCATGGACACGCTGTGTGTTCATGACTTTTATAAAATCCAATAATGGTTATCTGGAAGGGTAAAAAAAGAAAGGCTTGGAAGTACGCAAAGCTTTCCTCTGCAGAGGCCAAACATGATGTGAAAAGAAGGTCCATAATCTGGAATATGTGTGTGGAAACAAGATTTATTTGGCATCTGTTCAAGCACAAACATTCACTCAGCACACATGACTCTTGTTGCAACTTTCTGCATTGGGTGGAAAGTAGCTGACAGCTTCTCCTGAAGCCAGCTAAACATTTCAGAAGCTTTTGGAGTTCCAGTGCCACTGTGTGTTCAAGAAACTTTGTCTCTGCCGGCAGATCTAAATTTGCAAGACAATAAATGATCACAAATCCAGTTTTCTGGCACTCACATTGTGTTCTGTCTGTCCCTGAGGGCTGTATATTCTTAGGTTCCTGGCTTTATTGTGACCTTTGATTAGCGCTATAGACAAAACAAAAGCATAATCCGATAACAATTATCCTCACAATTATAGGAAAAAAACATTGTTGCTTATACAGCAGGAATTCAGACCTGACAGAAAAGGTTTTGGGAGAACATCTCAGCATCATCTGTTCAAACACTTAGAATTAGCAGGCCCTGTTCTTCTCAAAGGTGACCCCTTGTGGCCGTGCAATGCTTTTCAAAAGCTGATGATGTTTCGCCAAACAATTAGATCAGTAATGATTCATTCTGGAGAGGAGTGACAAACAAGAAAATCATCTCAATGTGACACATCAGGACAAATGACAGCATGTGCTGTTTCAGTTGCAAGAGTTTAGCTAACACGACAATTTATTCTGGAGCAAAGAAGTGAGAACAGAGTCAGGACACTGAACTGCACTGCAATAAACTGCTGAGAGTCGCGGAAGTTAATTTGGTCTCATCATTACAACACCAGTTCTCACTGCACATCTGAACACATCAGTTTTAGTCACCCAACAATGACTACTGGATTAAGATCATCCCCTTTTCTCTTCTTGGGGGGAAACCATCAACAGCCAAGCTGCTGTGCAGAAGTCTTGAGTCTACAGTTTGTTTTAAAGAAACCAGACTTCCAGTTAGTCTTTAAATGTCAATCGTTCTTTAGGCTACTGCAGGAATTTTCTCTTCCATCTTGGACTCTGCTTTTTGATTCAGTTTTAGTCCAGTACCTTTTTTGATCAAATCTCTTAACTCTGACTTATGAATCATTCAGAAACTAAAAGCATGAACCAGTTTTGTGTGGACACAAACACTTTTAAAGAGCACGGTGGAGAGAAGGGTCCGTCGGATTGTTGAACCTTGGATTCAGGAGGAACAATGTGGTTTTCGTCTTGGCCGTGGAACACTGAACCAGCTCTATACCCTTAGGGGGGTCCTGGAGGGTGCGTTGGAATTTGCCCAACCACTTTACATGTGTTTTGTGAATTTGGAGAAGGTGTTCAACCTTGGGGGGTCCTGTGGGGTGTATTCCAGGAGAAAAGGGTAGAATGCCTTCTCTGGGTCAGAGATGAGGTCCTGCCCTAAGTGGGGAAGTTTAAGTATTTCAGGATCTTGTCCACGAGTGAGGGAAACATGGAGTGAGGGATTGATAGGCAGATTGGTGCTGTATCAGTGATGCAGGCATTGTTCTGATCTTTCGTGGTGATGAGAAAGCGGAGCCAGAAGGCAAAGCTGTCGATTTACCGATTGATCTACATTCCTACCCTCACCTGTGGTCACAAGCTTTGGGTAGTGACTGTAAGAATGAGATCGAGGATACAAGCGGCCAAAATGATTTTTCTCTGGAGATAGGGTGAGAAGCTTGGTCATCCGGGAGGGGCTCAGAGTAGATCTGCAGCCAGTTGAGGTGGCTCGAGCATCTGGTTAAGATGCCATCTGGACGCCTCCCTGGTGAGGTTTTCTGGGCAAATCTAACCAGGAAGAGACCTAAAGGAAGTCCCAGGGCACACTGGAGGAACTATGTTTTTCGGGAGGGAATGCCTTAGGATTCCTCAGGAGGAGCTGGCCCAAGAGGCTGAGGAAAGGGAAGTCTGGGCCTCTTAGGCTGCTGCCTGGATAACAAAACATCATGAATGCTGAGGCAAAAATTAAGATAAACATGGGTCAGTTAAACATCTGGCACAAGCTGAATAAAAGACACACGACCAAACAATTTCCATGACACTCTAACAAGGATTAACAGAAAATGTCTTCTGCTCTGTTCAGTCAGCTCACCATTATCCATCAGTTTCCCCACTGAATGACATCAGAGTGGGACCACATCCATGTCTGACTGAGGGCTGTCCTCCCTGCTTCAGCCTGCCAGAGGGACAAGAATACTAGCTGAGCTCATCACAGGATTGCCTGCTGGTGGCATCTCATAACACAATCCTACCCAGGGACACATTACTGACCCATTAGGCCAACTGTTCCACCTAGAGCACATGCTGATTGGTCCTTGTCTGTTCTTTCTTTCTGATTCCAGGAATAAAGATCCGGAGTGATTTCATTGTATCAACACAAAAATCATTTTGATTATTCTAAACCCTCGTGCTGCTGTAAATTTCACCTTTCCCCCATTTCCATCTCAAATGAGATGGGTGTGGGACTAGACCCTATCCAGGTAAATTTTTCATTCATTCATTCATTCAAGGAGGCACTTGACTCTGTTATTGTTAATGGAGATGAAGCTGGAGTTAATTTCAAAGGGAGAGAGATGGAGGAGTTCCAGCTCCGGTCCCTGTGGGAAAAACATCACTCAGACATGTTTGTCCTTCCTTAATTCCTCTGATTTAGCAGAAAACCACGAGCTAAGCTGCAGCACACTGATGTGTACACAAAGCCATACCTTCACTGGAGTGTGTGCAAAAACTGTAGATTGTTCTGACGACTTGTCTGTAAGCAGAACAGTGTTTAAGAGGCTTAGCTTCAACACAAGCTTTGGAATAAACGCTTGGACTGTTTTCTCAAGCTTTTGATGAAATGGCACTTTGCAAAAGCTGTTGCTAATTCTAATAGTTTCAATTCCGACAGGGATTTTTATCACTTTTGTTTACTTGGTCTTTGGAATTAATGAGGTCAGCTGAGTCAACCACGGCAGTCTCAGAGATCACAAACTTGCAGAAGTCATTGAACAAAAAATGTGTTGATTTCCTACATTAAACATGAGTTTCTAGCCAGCGTGGAGTCTTTTCGGGATGAGGATGAGCAGAGATGTGATCAACGATGCCCCGAATAATAAACACACAGGAGATAATAGGAGAGGATACTGTTTGTGCTTTATTCAAGAGCTGACTCAGTTTCTCCTCCACATGTGGTTCGTATTTGATCCATAGTGCTGTTCCGCTGGACGAGTTGGCACTGTTCTCCAGATCTCACATTCTTTGCTTTTTTTTCTCCAACTTTTACTTCTGCTGTGCTTCAATTCAAATTCAAATTCCAATTCAAATTCTAAAATACTTTATTAATCCCAGAGGGAAATTAGTTTCAGTGCACACAATTCCGAGATCAGACACACATACATAGACACATGACAAGAATTGGTGACTGTGGTCATTCGCAACCCGAGTCACGCTACCGTAATAGATCAAGGGTTTATATGAGGATAGAGTCAGGGGAGGGAAAAAAAGGCACTTCTCACCCGAGAGGGCAGCTTTGCTATGCAAAAAAACATCTCAGACAGATATGCACACAGACTTCAGACATTACACAACATAAGTGTCCACTAGGTGGGGAGATAGGGTTGGGACTCTCCTCACTTCAGTGCATGCAGCTGCATGGGGCAGCGCTCATCACCTCCGTTTGGACAGGGGATGGAGTTGATGGGTTAGAGAGCACAGTGACTCCTAAATATGGTTCCACGGCCTTCACCGGTCACAGTCCCCCCAGGCTAGGATAGGGAGAAAGAGTTTCCATAGTGACAACAGCATTACACATTTCTTCTGAGGGGGGAGTTATCACTTCAGCCTCACAGGCTCCAAGGGCACCAGATTAAGATAAAAATTCACGTCTTGTGGTGCACGGATGCAAATGTGAGAGAACATTTTAACTTGTTTTCATACTTTTGCATTCTTGTTGGAATACGTTTTTGTGATTTACAAATCAGTCTTGGAAAATAAAATAAAAGTCTGTTTTAAGTTGCTCTCAGTGTTTCTCTGGCCTCTGTACAATGAGACCATCTCCTCATCAGCAGCATCATCACTCTGCACTCACACGCGTCCTTTTTAATATCTCCTTCCTCGTCAAACCCTGTAACCTCTGTCTCCACCCAATGAGCAAAGGGAGCCCACCCTCATGTCTTTCTCCCCCCTCCTCTCTCCCTCAACTCACACTCTTTCCACGGTGCACTAATAAAGGAGAGGTCCGGCGCCAGCATCCGACCCAGCGACGAGTCTCGCCGCAGCACAGGACAACGTTTGGCTCCAGCTCCGATTCGGACGCAAGCATCTTTGCTTCTGAGTAAATAAAAAACAAAGGATTAGACCCTGGAGGAGTGAAGGTAAAACTGCTACTTGCCTCACGAAGTAAGCCTACGGTTGGCAGCCAGAACTTCAGAGAGTCTGGTGCGCACATGGCACCGAGGACGCGCTCCTGGCTCCGCTGACAGACGCGCAACATGGAGTCAAACTCTGGATCATAGAACCTGTCCTGAGTGCACAATTTCCCAAACAATTTACAGATTATCACAGCTGAAGTCAGGATTAATTTATTTTTACTTTTTTTTTTTTTTTTTTTTTTTTTTGGTGGCATAACGATCAGAGCAATGCTGGGTTTGAACAGGACTGTCAGACTCCGGCCAGCTCGGACTCAGCCGGGAATTGGACCCTCATCCCGAACCTCGTCATCCTGTCAGAATCAGGGTGCCAGCTCCAGGATTTATTGTGCGTCTGTGCTGCTGCTGCTGCTCGTTACTCCAAGAGTGGATTCTTCATGGTGGTAAGTGGGCACTGACGCGCGCGCACACAAACACTGTTTTGTTATTTGGGTGGTAAAATTAAGATATAACCATTTTATATGTATATATAATCCTGCCGTTAAGCTTTGAATTGCTTCTAATCTGGTTATCTCCATGAGGAGTAAAATACCAATGTTTGTCCTTAAGTATTGAAAGTTAGTGACAATTCATTTTGTATCATTATTCTTTCGCCCATGATCTTTTACCGTTTCATAACCAACAGCTTAATATGTAATTAGCCTTCTGCAGCATAATTTTACACATCCTCCAAAATGTTATTTTCTGCAATAATTTGATTTAATTCTTAATGGTTACAGCACCCAACCTGTAGGAGCCAAGACACACCATGAAGTGCAAAGAATCACCAAAATTATGAGTTTGAGAATGAGTTTTGAGCGTCTTTACGATTTTGCGTCAAAGATGCAATATCTTTGTGTCAGTTTGTTGGCCTGCCATGCTGCTGAGTAGTCATAATAATACCAGCAGGATGAGTATAATTTATCTCAGCGTTGTTGGCTGAGCGCGCAAGTTCAGCTCAGCTGGAGCCTGGATTGGACAAGGCAGAGAAGTCATTAATCCAGCAGGTACCAACACCACACACACACACACACACACACACACACACACACACACACACACACACACACACACACACACACACACACACACACACACACACACACACACACACACTCAGTGTGTGTATGTGTGTGCGTGTGTTTTTGTGTGAGTGTGTAAGAGAGAGAAGTGACTTCACTAAATATTCAGCCATCCTTAGTGTATGCGAGAGGTTTGGGAGTATATTTCATGGCTGTGGTTACATAAATGAGATCGTCTGTGTGTTTATAGGAGAGGTGTCTGTGCGTGGGAGGGCTGAAGGGTGATGGAATGTCCAATAGTTTGTGTAGATTAAAAGCAGGTATGAGGAGAGCTCATGTTGAAGCTGCAACTGACATTTACTGGCCTTGATAGAAATTCAGTGAACATTCAATATCCTTTTTTTTGGCAGTTTATGATGTGAAAAGGTGTTAGGCTGCAGGGTTTTCAGAAATAAGGATCCATGATTTGCTCTATTCAAGTGCATTTCAACAAATGTCCCTCAAACCAGTTTTGACATCCCTGTCTGCAGGTTTGCACGCAGTTGCAATAATATCATTGAATGGCAGTGCCATTTGTAATACACCCATACTAACAATGCTGTCCTATACATGTTGGGGTTTGGAGGTCTGTGCCAAATATACTTCTGCATGCATTTGAGATGTAGATAATGATAGAAAACAATTTTGATAAGTTGTGCACTCCATTTTTGAATTTTACTGCAGTTGAACATTTTGCTTCTCATTTGAGGAGTAGTCCCAGTTCAGTCTGAAAAGTCTGTTCCAGGTTATTGCAAAGCTCAGAAAGCTTTGAACTCTGGGCTTTTTATTTATTTATGTTTTTTTTTTTTTTTTTTTTTTTTTTTTATTTGGAGCACTGAGAATCGTCACCAAAATCAGAAAAGTTCACCACCCTTTTTACATAAAGAAACATGCATATTAGGGATGCACAATATATCAACATCAATATCAATGTTAGTCATTTTTTAACATAAAGGTAACACTGGCCCAGTATTAACAAACAGTATTTTTTTTTCATTTAGTAGCCATTTGTGAATCACTTTCAGAAAGGGATGGGGTGATGATGCATAATTGTGATCACAGTGATAGTAATCATTTCAGAAGCATAAATGTCTGTGGTGTGAGTATATTATAATATACTGTATATGTATATACAGGTATAGTAGGGGTTTGTATTGCACCACACTAGATGAATGTAGTAAATGTTTGCATTTAAATTCTCAACAAAAATTTGATACATTACTTTTAAATATAATTTCAGTATCATTACACAAAATATCACAATATTTTAGTGTATTGATATGTTCTTACATGCCTTCTTATATTAATGCAATATCAGTACACATTGGTCAAGGGGTATAATAGAGATATTAGGGGCAGCAGTAGCTCAGGTGGTAGAGCAGGTTGCCTCATGGGGTCATGGGTTCGATTCCAGCTCCCGCCAGGGGTATCCTGCTGCTGTGTCCTTGGGCAAGACACTTCACCCAACTTGCCTGTGTTATGGGCCATTCCCATCTGTACCGGGTCGGCCTGAGCCGGGTAGCGTAGGTTGTTTACATATCTGGGTGGCCTGGTATTTTTCCGGGCCAACCAAGGCTCATTCTCAGCCCTCTTCTCGAGGGGGTCTGCTTCAGGCCAACCAGGGCCAACACACCCACTGCTGACAGCAAATTCACACCTTCCATTAGAGCAAGCCTCTGATTGGTGGGTAGAATCAGCCCACATGGGCTTAAGACAAGGATGTGTGGAATCAACCGGGCCAGGCTGGGGCCGACTGGGGCTACCCGGCCCGGGCCGACCCGGTACAGATGGGAATGGCCCATAAGTGGTGGTCAGAGGGGCCAACGGCGCCAAATGGCAGCCTCGCCTCTGTCAGACCGCCCCAGGGCGGCTGTGGCTACAAGTAGCTTACCATCACTAGCAGTGTGTGAATGTGAGAGTGTGTGAAAAGCGTCTTTGGGTGTCTAGAAAAGCACTATATAAGTTCAATGCATTATTATTATTATTAAAATTGGATATCGATAACGACCCACATTTTCATATTGGTGCATAATGCAGATAAATATTTGATAACTCCAAAAAAGGCAAGACAACAACATGTAGATCACTTTTAACTTGAAAATATGACTTTATTGTCTTATAATGATGTAGCATTAAAAAGAAGCATTTCTATTTCTTTTTACAACATGTTATTTTAAACATGTGGATAGAGTGTCTAATAAAATTCACAAGTCCTTGTTTCTCTCTCACAGCTAGAGTGACAGAATGGTGTGAATTGGTGCTCTGGTGATTTCCTTTGATGTGCATACCTCTCTTTTCCCTCCTCTTTTAATCCCACTCTGGGGAGTCTCCAGTGTCCATACTCTTGGTCAGCCCTATAAGGAAAAGAAAATGATCACACAGCTGCACGCTCTGTGGCTTCCCCTCTGTGACTAAACCCTGAAGTTACCATACAGAGATCTCATGCATGAGCACAAAGTAGCATCACAACTAAACTTCAAGCATCTTTACAGGATCCCTAAAAGTCAGTTTTATTAGAAACTTTGAGCACGATGAGAGCAATTAGGCAAAAGACAGAAAAGAGTAAAGTGAGTAAATGGAGTCCAGGTTTGACAGGATTATTGGAGGCATTCTCAGCTCTGATTTGTGACAACACCATTTTTACTATCCCACTGGGTAACATTTAACAAGCATGCACACACACCCACTTGTCTGTCTTTCTATCTTAGTGAGGACCATCCGCTGATTTCCATTCATTTTTGTGACTGTATTTTGCCTAACCCACCCCCTAACCCTAACTATAACCAGTGTTGCTGCATCCCTAAATCTAACCTCAACAAAAACTTTATTCACACCATACATTTAAAACCTCCTAGTAAGCTTTTAAAAATTGTGAGGACCACAGAAATGTCCTCACTTAGAAAAATGTCCTACTTCTGTTGGTGGAAATCTATGATGGTCCTCAGTATGTAGTAAATACAAGAACACACACACACACACACACACACACACACACACACACACACACACACACACACACACACACACACACACACACACACACACAGGTCTTGCAGCGAGAGGTTAAGTGCTTATTTATTTGGAAAGTCGAGTAAATGGTTCCCACTCCCCTCCTACTCACAAACTTTAAACTGTTAAGTGTAGTGAACTCTGACTCACAGAAGACTTTTACTGTAGCTCTTCTTCATGCCACTCACCACTTTGTGTCTACTCAAGTAAACACACCCAGCAGCACCTCAGCTGCAGTAAACCACCCATCTATGCCATCACTTAACCACCACATGTGGATTCTTTCAAAAGACAAAAAGAAAAAAAGAAAAAAAATCACTGAACCAATTTAAAATAAACTGTTTTTCTGACCCCTTCAGGTACATCGGCGCTCTTGGCGCTCGTGTGATCTGCGACAACATTCCCGGACTAGTGAACAAACAGCGCCAGCTCTGCCAACGCCACCCTGACATCATGCAGGCCATCGGCGAGGGCACCAAGGAGTGGATCAGAGAGTGCCAGCACCAGTTCAGACACCACCGATGGAACTGCAGCACGTTGGATCGAGACCACACCGTCTTTGGACGTGTCTTGCTCCGGAGTAAGTCTGCATGTGGAAACATGTCCATCTAGCTGATGAGTGAAGCACAAACCTGAGATCTTATTACTTTTTCACCCTTTCCCACAGCTTCTACAATCTGTCGCTTCTTCCCACTCTTTCAGTCTGTTCTTTCTCATTTTCTGCTCCACGTTTGCCCTGCTGCTTCATATTTATAGTCACTAATGAGCTGTTTTAATACCTTGCATCTCATCAATAACCACCCAGACTTGCTATTTGATTTTTATTAGCCACAACCTGATACATGAAGAGATAGACACACATTCATACATTTGCTGCCTGCATCATTTCTCTAGAGGAGATATTCTTTTAAGTGGGACTAAAAGGTAACGGCTAAAATCAGGTTGTGATGGTTGCATAGTAAACCCTTGATGTCAGTTTTATTTAAAAAAAAATAAAAGAGAAGAATGATTTTATTTACAGGATTTTAAAAACGCATGCAACACCAGTGTTGCCCTTCATCTTTAAAAGAGTACAGCAAAGAATTGTTCAATAACCCTTCTCTGAGGAATGATAAACGATTTTATTTAGCCTTTTTTTGCAGTGATGCACCATAACCTGTCCACATTTGTACTGAATCATAAATCCACAGCATAGATAAAAAAGCCAAAATGTTTAGAAATAGAAATGCATCTAAAACATGGGCTGGAGAAACATGCAGACAGTAGGATACTCTTGAGAAAATGAGAACACAACTCCAGCTAAATTGCTGCTGCTTAACTTATTAAAAAAATGGCGAACAATTGTGTACAATGGTAAAAGTTTTACGCAAAATAAAATATTACCTTATATATTTAAAGTTGGCATTCAGCTGGACAGTCCATAAACAGCCAGTAAACCTGCTGTTTATTGGGAATGTTTATTTCAAGTCAACTTCAATAGTTGCTCAGTTTCTTTCTTCTAGAACAAATTCTCCAGCAGCCAACTAAAGTTCAGCTAATTCATGTTTTATTACATGCGGTATACATCAAAACCAATGTGCCTGGTAGCTTGATACAGGTTGCGTAAAGAGACAGCTTTTTCCTAAAATTCAGTTTCTGATGCCGCTGACAGCTTGTTATTGTGTCTTATCCAGCCATCCCAAGCATGTGTGGGGGTTGGCCATGCATGAAGAAAAGTGGAAGATATGAAGATAACTGGCTCTGCCTGTATGTCAGTGTGTGTGAGTGTGTGTGTAGTAGGGGTGAGAGAAATAAACAGTAATGCAGATGTAAATATTTGGAGAGATATTCTCACTGTCAGACAAACAGCCTAGTTTTGAAAGATGGCCAGCGATGCCCTCGTCAGTGCTCTCCCACATGCATCCCCTCAGCACCCACTAACCCCTTCTCCTCACCCCCTGGAATAAATGGGACACATTGGTGAACAAGATTGTGGAAGATAGATTTGAGTGTTTTAATTTCATAGAACTAGAGGAATCTCCTATATGGTGAAATTAAAGTGAATGGAATTTGTAAGCGGATGCATTTTCAGTTTCTCTGAACCTACAGATATAAGAACTAAAACAGTTTGCGTGAACTTCCAGTTTAAAGAAAAAAATATGATATTTGATCATGAGGGTTTGCAGTAACAGAGGTGGATTGTACATCAACAGTTTCAAAAGAAGTTTTAACCCCTGACCAGTTGAACGTGTTTTGGAAATAACAAACACCCTTTAATACGCCTGTACACCGTGAGACGACGAGAAGGCAAATCAAAACTGGGTTCGCGTTCATTAGGAAAACTAAATAAATTTAGCATAAATCCAGCCAATTATTTTCAAGATTACTTCCACACTGAAAGCATTTCGATAACCGTATTGTACAAACTGGTGCATCCAATTTCTCCAAGCCCTAGGGTTAGGGTTAGGGTTACAACTTATGTTTGCTGTGTTTATGTTTAAGAGGCTAAAGGTGAATAAGTTTGCATGAATCCCCCATTTACTCAATCTTGTTTTAAAAAGCAACTGTGACCAATCTCTATGTCAAAATTTCTCAGCTTCTTTGGCCTCAAAATGCATGAGTCATATTTTGAGAAAGCAGAGGAAGCAGCAGAGAACAGAGGAGCACAGCAGTGGTAGATAATGTTCTCATGACATCACCCCAGTGCTGATAAATGGGGTATCACTGTGTCTGTATTTAAACAATTTATGTGAGTCAGGGGGAGCCCCACAGCTAGGATTATTTCCATGATAATATTTAAACAGAGCAGGTCCATATTCCACATCAGGCCTGATACACTCTGTCAGCTGCACCTACATGTCCTCATGGCTCACACCCAGGCCGTGTCATAGCACCATGTGTATCGAGCTGCAAGGCTTACCTCAGCTGTGATGTTAATTCCATTTTCTGCATCAGGCTTACCTTTTGGTTTTGTGTGTAACGCTTCTCCAACTCAGGCAGTCGGGAAGCAGCTTTCGTCTACGCCATCTCCTCAGCGGGAGTTGTGTACGCGCTAACTCGCGCATGCAGCCAGGGGGAGCTGAAGACGTGTGACTGTGACCCTCACAAACGAGGACGAGCTCGTGACACCAGAGGCGAGTTTGATTGGGGTGGCTGCAGTGATAACATCAACTACGGGATAAAGTTTGCCAAAGCCTTCATCGACGCCAAAGAGAGAACAGTCCGAGATGCCCGCGCACTCATGAACCTCCATAACAACCGATGTGGTAGAACGGTACGTGAGCAGATCTGCGACATGCAATGTCTTGACAATTACTTTCCTTATTACAAAACAAAACAAACATATTCAATAAATACTACTACTACTACTACTACTACTACTACTACTACTAATAATAATAATAATAATAATAATAATAATAACAATAATAATAATAATAATAATAATGATAATGATAATGATAATAATAATATTTATTATTATTATCATAAAACAAATGTGTTTCAGTCACTGGTGGAAAAAAGCACTTGATTTGTTTATTCATGTAAAACTACAGATACTTAACAGGAAAGCAGTAGCTCAGGAGTTAGAGCAGGTTGTCCAGTAATCGGAGGGTTGCAGGTTGGATCTTGGCTCCCACCAGTGAATGTTGCTATTGTGTCTTTGAGCAGGATGCTTAACCCACCTTGCCTGCTGGTGGTGGTTGGAGGGACCGGTGTCGCCTATGTGTGGCAGGCCTCACCTCTGTCAGTGGGTCCCAGGGCAGCTGTGGCTACATTGTAGCTCATCATCACCAGCATGTGAATGTGTGTGTGAATGGGTGAATGACTGATTGTGTTGCGAAGCACCTTGATGGTTGTAGAACCCTAAGAAGACACTATACAAATACAGACCATTCAAATGGAAGCATCAAAGACATTTTCTACTCAAGGAAAAGTATGAAAAAGTGCATTTCAAGTGTACATAAAAGTAAAAGTGTTCTACTAGCATTTAATTGTGTATATATATATATATATATATATATATATATATATATATATATATATATATATATATATATAGTAACTTGACGTGTGCTTTTGAAGTATTGTTACCTATAATACTGCAGTACATAGGCACTCAAGGAAGTGAGCTACCAGTGTGGAGGGGATTGGACAAAATGAAAATTAAAGTATTTTTACATTGAAACTTCAGAAAAGGAAGGGGAGTAGAAAGTACAGGTAATTGTTTTTAAATATGGTAGAGTAAATATGCTGGTGAAGGTTTTCAGTCTCCAATGGGATTTGAATAGTGTTTGAATGACGGCAACTAGACTTATTTGGTTTCTGGAAGACATTTAGCTTCTCATCCAAGTTGTATAAGCTTGACCTTCCCATTAAGTCCGGTTGTCTTTATTCAAACCATTTTGGAGAAGCAGAGTAAAAGTAAAAAGTAGGTCTCAAGAAAATAAAGTAAAGTACAGATACAGAAAAATTGTACTTAATAACGATTTTTTTTAACTTAAGTACAGTAACAAAGTACTTGAGCTGTGACACTTCATCACTGGTTTCAGTTTCAGAAGTTGGATAGAAATTATGATTTTGACCTTTATGTGGAGTGAAACCTGAACTGTTGGGTCAACGCTCTTCCTACCAAATTACAAATATAATCAAACATATTTAATCAAAACCACTTTGATGCAAATATGGTTCTGATTTTGTGCATCTCACTAACATTAGAGGCAGAATAATCATGCCCATTTCTTACCCGATCCGCCCATTGTGGCATTCTTATTCATGCACCCAGGTACTGTAATGCCTCCAAAGTCAGTGGTATCCAATATGTCTGCCATGTGTGGTGGGTTAACAGCTCTCTGGCTTGCTCTGAAGCATGTTGGGACTGCTCTGATCTTAAAATCGTGGCTTTCAAATGTGTTGGATTGTCCTGGTCCGACATCTGAGGACAAACAAGCGTGCTGCCAGGTGACTTTGATGGAAGTGTGCAGCATGCTCCTCCTCAGTCATATTTGTTTATAACAAAGTCACGTTTGATCTCACAAAATGTCCCATTTGACCTAGGAATATTTTTGTGTTGGTTTGTGTGTAGTAGGACCAAAACTAGGATTTACATGATTTTTTTTATCACCATGTGTGTGGTCTTTTATGCTTTGAAAATTGTTTGAAGGTTTAAAAATCTTCCAGTATGATTTTTATTTTTTTTGTTGTTGAAACAATCTAAACTTCTTCATTTAGGCTGTGAAGCGCTTCATGAAGCTGGAGTGTAAATGCCACGGTGTGAGTGGCTCTTGCACACTGCGGACATGTTGGATGGCCATGGCTGACTTCAGGAAGACTGGCGACTACTTGAGGAGGAAATACAACGGGGCTGTTGAGGTGATGATGAACCAGGATGGGACAGGGTTTGCCGAAGCCAACAAAGCCTTCAGGAAATTCACCAAAAGCGATCTTGTCTACTTCGAGAATTCACCAGATTACTGCCTCCAAGACAAATCAGCAGGTACGACAGAAGAGAAGGCTGTTTCTCATGGATGTTGATGGATTGCCTAGACTCTGTTATCTTTTAGGGGTGTTATGTGTATGTTGTGTGTATACTCATGCATGACTAGTGTGTTTTGTGTGGATGAATGTCAGTGGATGTGTGTGTGTGGGCGTAATGGTAGTCGGATAACACAGCAGGCCTCCCTTGTTGTGTCGGTGGAAGGTAATATCCTGGTACCCTGAGGACATGGTCATTCTGTGACCACCTGACCTCTGTCAGTCTACCCATGCACACACACACACACACACACACACACACACACACACACACACACACACACACACACACACACACACACACACACACACACACACACACACACACACACACACACACACACACACACACACACACACACACACACACACACACACACGTCTTGTTCAATGTGACTAATCATATATGGCTTTTTGCTGGTTGGTGGACAAACTTTGAGGAAATCTGACCTCAGCATCTTCATCAATCAGAAGCTTTTTCCATCTCTTCTTCCTTTGGGTCCTGTCATCCCCTCATTAATCCGTCCCCTCTTTCTCACCTTCTCAGTGGAATCCACAGCCTAGGGACACAAGAAGCTAAATTAAAAAAAAAGTCACTTCTGTGTGTCTGCCACAGTCTTTCTCCCTTTTTGTCAGTCTGAACTAAGCATAGCTGGAGGGCAGAGTGGGCCTCAGAGTGTGAGAGCCTGTCTGTCTGTCACGCTCCACTGTCCATTTAACTGTCACACAGACACAGACACACACACACACACACACACACACACACACACACACACACACACACACACACACACACACACACACACACACACACACACACACACACACACACACACACACACACACACACACACACACACACAGATGCTTCAAAGGGAGCAGTGGCTTGGGAAAGGCAGAGTAACTACAGGCCACTCTACCAACACTGCATAGTTGTGTGTGTGGGTCTGTTGTTCTACGGGCAGCTTGTTGTGATAGGTAGCAGTTCAAACAGGGAACTTCTCACACCAAACATGAGCACTGATCTCTGTGGGGATGACATTCACATAAGACACAGACAGCGCGTTGGGTAATAGGGAAAGTACTACACAGCAATCCACGCCCGCGACAAGTGTTTCAAATCAGTTACGAAAAAGTTAAACTTGGTCCAGGTGAAACATCTGAAGTTCAAGCTAATAGCTTCTGAGATGCTACCGCCACATTCAGTTAATGCATACTTAATGCACCACACAACCTGACAATAATTAGATTTTTGTGAAACTATTTGAACAGACTCCAGATACTTCATGCAGAAGAAGAGGAATAAAAAAATTTCACCTGAACACTTTAGTTCTCCCATGCAGTCAGGCACTTCTGTGTGATTCAGCCTATGTAGGAAGCAGTTACTGATCAAATGCATACCTATATAAACACTGCATAGCATGCTCCTACAACAGAGACCAACACACAGGCACACTAAGTCATTCTGTCATTTTTAAAAGGTGCGGTTCACTGAAAACCCATTTTTTTAATGATCATTTTTAATTTTAAATGGTCATTTGGAGTTTTTCATGCAGGCTGAACATGAAAAAAATAGTCTCCTACATCTACCTCCTGCATTAGCTTCTGATAGAAAATAGACATTGAAACATAGGATATGAAAAGCTTGACAGATTTACGTCACATATCATTCATGGACTCACCCATCTTGACTTGCGATGGGGAAGGTTGAACTAGTAGACAATTAGAAGCTAACCGTAAGCTTTAGCAACACCACCACACACACACAAAAAAAACCTCCTTCAAGCTTGTGTTATTTGTGGAGATAAAACATCAATAATCCAAGTCAGTGGTAGAGTCGCATTGCTGTTATCTAGTCTGAGGGAATGATGTCCAAACACCAAGACTCCAAAACCTGCCGTGTTGTGCCGCTCTCTGCTGCAGCAGACTTGTCCGTGCTGATCCAAGCGCTTGTGGGCTTTTTGCCCTGAGTACAGCTTGCAAGGCATTCATTTCTACTAGAGACCACTGCAAATGTATTGATTAAATGAGTTTCCCACACCTTTAAACACAACCTCACAGCCCTTTGAAAGTGTGAATATAAGCATAGTGTCAATAGATCTTTTAAAATCATACTTTTTTTGTTTACTTTCTGAAAACAAAAAGACATAATATGTAAATTATAACAACACTTTGATGAATATGGGATTTTTTAAAATGCATAATATTTAAGTACGTAGGCTATTAGGCTAATATGACCTCAAAATTCGATGTTGTAACTACCTCTATTTCCTGCATTAGCTGCCAAAGAAAATAAACAGGAAATCAGTTGGGTCAGAAAAATCCAGACAGCTCCACATCACACTGTAAATTTTGCATTCATACACTGTCCCACCTTGGCTTGTGACTGTGCAAGTCTTGTTGATTTTGTGGCCAGGAGTGAGCAGAAGCTAACTGTTAGCAAAAGCAACTTCACAACATGGCGGATCATGTTGTTTGTGGACATAAAACATCAACGCTGTATTTTTACCCAAGAAAGAAGAGCGAACAAAAGCAGCAGAAGAGTTGCTCTGTTAGCCAATCAGAGGCGAAACATTTTCATATCATGAATGTTGATGAGCAAGACTCTAAATCCTGCCATTTTTCGCCCCCTCACTCCTCACACTAACATCTACTTCCCGAAACAGAAGTGTGAGAGCTTTTTTCCACAGAAAATGACTCACGAAGCATTCATTCATATTAAAACCACAGCAAATTTATTGGAATAATGCATGAATGTTCGCACAACACTGAGTGACAACCAAGTTCTTTTGTGTCAATCTAATGGATTCTACCAGACTTGCAACAATGCAGCATAACAATGTCCATCTTTACAGAAGAGGTCCATGAGATTGAGGTCAGACTGAAGGTTATCTGTAGTTAAGGATTAAAAATATGAGACAAAAAAACTTGGTATAGAACTGAAATGTTAAAAAGTGTTACAGCTTCAATTGAAATGTTGATGGAGCTAACTCCTTAAAACTCTGTCTTCAGGGTCCCTAGGCACAGCTGGACGGGTCTGCAACAAGACATCGCGTGGCACAGACGGCTGCGAGGTCATGTGTTGTGGGCGTGGCTATGACACTACTCGAGTCAAACAAATCACCAAGTGTGAGTGCAAGTTCAAATGGTGCTGTGCAGTGGAGTGTAAGGACTGCGAGGAAGCCGTGGACATACACACGTGCAAAGCGCCAAAACGAGCTGGGTGGTTGGACCAGACCTGAGGACACACAAACACCTCTGCTTCCTGCAATGCAACCCCACCCATCACCCCCTTTGCAGGATATCCTGTGGAACACAGCATTCTGGGAAACTTTAATCCAAAAATGCTCTGTGTCGCCGCTGCCCTCCTCTTCCCCTCCACCTTGTCTCATTGCATGGCTTTTTACATTTCTCTACGTGTTTGAGAAAGCACTAGAGTCCACTACCCAACAAAGCGAACTAACACACATTAGCTACTGTTTGTGATCGACTCTGTGATTGAGCTGCTGGGATCTGATGAACAGTAAAGGCAGTGACATCACTTTGGCTTTCATCACAGTCAGACGGACTTTTTACTCCATGTGTGGTTCTGTGTTTAAAACAGCTGCTTTCATGATGTTTTTTTTTACATTAACTGAGACATATTCAGTATTATTACATCATGTCATATACTCACAAAGGTTTGCTTCAGTTTTTTTTTTAAGAAAATCTGCATTTCTCTTCTAAAATCTTGGTTTAGTAAGTGCAATTGAAGTGGACATCTAAGTATAAAGTTGGTCCTGTGTGGCCAAACAGGAATCCAAGGTGGGGACTATGGGAGGACATGAGGATGGACACCAGATGAATTAAAATAAATGGATGGTTGGATGTGTCACTGGAACGTTTAATGAAACTGAAAAAAGAATAGGTGTTTAAAGTGCTTTATTTAAATTGTAAAATGTTTTTGTTGCTCATCTGAAGATGAGACTGCACTACATCGGCTGAAACAGGGAGAGAGAGAGAGAGGAGCGCTCCCATCACTGTGATCATTCCCCAGATTTCAGCATGTGAAATAGAAAAAAACTGCTGCTGAAGAAAGAAAACCAACGCTTGTATCCCACTGTGCTATGACTGCTAGCAACAAATTGGAGACTGTATTTGTGAAGGCATTTCCAAGCCATCTCAAAATCTTCACAAGCTGTCCCTTTTTCTCACATGTTCCAAAAACTTGCAAATTGAGCTTTCTCTCAAGATAACATCAGAGCATCTGTGCACATGAGGATCCGGGTTCAAGTTGTTTTCTTCAAAAATGCAAGAAGTGAGCGACAATTGGAGGTACTGGTCTTATTAAAGGGAATCTTTGCAATGTTTTCATATTTTTAAATCCTTTTATTGAGCCATTATGTGCTAAAAGGACCCTTTACATGGTTAATGACAGGCCACCAGCCCCTATTACCCCCTGTGGCCAGAATATTCCACTCGCAACTTCAGACTAGCGGACCGCTCTGTTGGGACTTACCTTGACATACCAGGTGCTGCAGTCTGCTTCCAGCTTGTTTCCTGCATGTTTTAGATCATAAACACAGCTGGAATGTCTCTTGCAGACACTGATGAAGGCTGGGAGGCGTTTCAGATGTTAGATTAAGGTGTTAAAAAGATGAACACACAGCGAGGAGATAGTTTATGCTTTTAGATCTACAAATTGACACGAGGGGGTGCTAAAAGCAAGCCAAAACTGCCTAGTTCTCCTTTAAATGATGGGCAATTCTGTATGAATTGAAACATTCTTATGACACTTTGTGATTAAACTGCAATACAAAGATTTGCACAACTTTCACAAATTTTTTGCTACTACATTTGCCACATGTGACAATGGTGACCAATGAAACCTGTTGCACCGTATCTTCTGAAAATTCATTTTTTATTACTTTTTTCTCCAATTTGTGGCCAGCAGTCACAGTCCGGTGAGCTACAGGCTTTCACAACGACGTTGATGTGCTTCACCTCTCTGCTCTGAAGCTTGCTTGTGTAACATTTTGTACAATGCCTTATAAACAGATGTTCATAAGAAATATATGTTGTATAATACTGGCATGCTTTTTTTGTTTGTTTTGTTTTTGTTTTTTGTTCAAAGATTTAAAGTTTTTAAAAACTTGCATTACATAAGAGTCTTGATGGAACACAATGGTTGTGATGTTAACATACAGACACTAAACAGAAGCACCAATGCTGTTGGTAACAAAGACTGATTCTGTGTGGATCGGGTTGAGGGGGTGTTATATCAGTCAAGGAGAGGGAAGTGTTTTATTAAAGTCCCAGCCTAAAATCCTAACCCCTGCTGGCCCTCTTCCACCCCTCACTTTGTGGAATTCCAGGTGCGTCCCAGGCTAATGACTAGATGGCTGTAATTACCCAGGGCTGTTGATAGCTGCTGATGGGACATGGTTGTGCCACAGAGGACCTAGTGTGGGCTCCTGCTGGGACCACATTTAATCAAAGGCTTCTTGGCCGGCTTATCAAAGGGAATATTTTCCAGCAATCTTCTCAGTCTCAGCCCCTTCAGCTCCCCAGACTCCACATCAGTCTCTGCTACAGACTCCAAAGACTCTTGACAATGTGAAGTCTAGAGACAATTACACACAAATGCAAAATTCAATAAAAGCAGTGCCTAACATTTTTGGACAGCAACGTTAACCAACAAAGTCTTTGTGTGTCACAACTGATTTCATTTGCACTCTTTTATTACAGCTTATCTGCAGAGTTCTCACAATGCACACTATGTTGTCATCGCTGTATTCTGATGATCAGATCATATCTCCTTATTCGGTCCAAGGACAGGAGCCATGAAGCTCACACTGAGAAAAAAGCTAAGGAGAAAAAAATATGATAATGTTGCTTCATGATTAAACATTTCTTTTAAAATTATCATCATTCTTAGTCATTTTACCAGCTTGCATTGATCTAAAAATAGCTGTTAATAGTCGTAGAGACTGATAAGCTTTACTACCCCCAAGGTTAATATTGCAAAGCTGATTGAAGTCACTGAGACAAAGTGTCCTGTGGCCGAGTTTGTCCTGAATGCAAGGCAGAGAGCATTCCTGTTGCAAAGTACCACAGACAAAACCATTAGTCTTAATGGTGGTGGGCAACATTAAGGAACCAGAGGAGGAGCAAAGGGAGCACATAATAAATCAAAGATTTCGCATTCCTCGATGGAATGCATGCACATCACCATTCATGGCAGAGTTTTAAACTAATGTTATCTTATGATAGAGACATGATTCAGTTTGTGCAAGTTAAGGCCATTTTTGTGTTATTTACGATTGATCAGCTGTTGGGGTCATCTTGATTGAGGTTGGATTCAAAAGTTAAACAGTCATAGATGTGCATCCAATAAAGATTTTTTTCCAGTTTCAATAAAATCCATCAACTTGTTCACGAGGTATTTCTCTAACAGACTGTGTTGACTCCAACAGTTAATGGCCAAGTTGGGAGCCAAGATCTTGCACAATGAGTAATGCTTTAAGTCTGTATCGAGGGGATGACTCAGCTACTTAAGCATCATACGTAAAATTGACAAAATTGTAGCCATTTTTTCCCCAAGGTTCTTTGACTGTGGCATTCCTGATGAGGGCTTTTGTGTCAGGGTGGCATAATGACACCAAGCAAGTCCAAAGTACAGAATTGGTTTAGTTTAAGGAAGAATCTTTGATGTAAAGTTAATATTTTATATATCGTGAAGTTTGTCAAATCTGTTTTGCTGTGATTTGTTTAGACTGTGAATATGGCTCCAAATGTTTGTTCGGCAGTGTCAGATTTATTCTCAGATTTCTGCTTCCATACTTGCTCTATATTTTCTCTCACTCACACTTGGCTCCCCGAATGTCTGAGACGTGACAGTCACTAAGATTTATTAAACATATGTCAAGGCTGCAATGCATGTCAGTCTGAGCTCTCTTTGCCAAATGACAACAGCTCTGAGAATAGATAAAGGCCTTGAAGATTACATACACATTCATGCATGTAACCACACACACACACACACACACACTGAATGTTCGAGACAGAACTTTGTCCAACTACGGCTGCAGGATTTTGTTCTTTAAATCTAAAACAAAGGTAATAAGAATGTGAAAGGGAACACAAATGGTCGATACACAAGAAATAGAATATACGGGTACTTGAAGACCTGGTAAGCCTTTTTATCAGCAGATCTTACTCTAAACTGATCCCTATTACCCACAATGTATTAACAGTCCCATCTGCCACATCCTTCTTATGGCCTCCCTTCACCTCTCTGCCCCAATACAGATGTTTCTTGGTGGGAATCAACCCTAACAGCGTCCTTGGGGTGGTCCTGGCCTCAGCCATGCGATCTGTTTTGCACACACAGCCACATGTACACACCTGCAGGCGAGGACAGTTGCCCCCCCATACTCAACTATCATTTGTCTGGTAAAACTTTTTGGTATGTTAGCAGGCTTTTTGCTCTGTCACTCACTGTTCATGGCTAGAAAGTGCATGCAAACAACCCTCAGGGTGGGCAGAAAATCAATCTGTCTTTTGTTGTTTTTGTTCTTTGGTTGAGGCCAGAGCCTTATAAGGTCAGGGGTCATAAAGTTTAGGTGTATCAACAGAGAACCTTCACCGCCATGAATGCACATTGCTGATCCAGATGACTGTTGTTGACACCTCCCAAACATTGACAGCTTTCTCTCTGCCTATCCATCATTCGGGCAAAGTTATTTAGAAAAACACCCGCTTTGCCAGATTTAAATCTGACATGCATGTTGCCGAGAGTTCCAGGCATTAGATGGAGCAGCTTGGCTGGGAACATGGTTGAGCAGCAAGAGGAGCAAATTTGTTAGGCAATTGAAAGTAATATTTGCATGACCTGCTATGACTTGTACAGCGTAGAGAAAGAGACAAAAATGAGGATTGGGGCATAAAAAACTTATTTGCAGAAATCTTTCAAGAAGAAAATGCCGTCCTCACACTACTTCCAGCTTTTTTCTCCCAGTACTTTACTAATTGGCCTTTTTTTTTGTCGGCCCCTAAAATGGTTTACAGCTGTTCATTTTATAGCCTTTATTGCGAAAATACAGAACAAGCTAGGTTTTGAACACAAACACAGTCACAGAAAACTCAGGTCTCTTTCCTGACCCCGGGTTTCCACGGGAGCCGTCAGCAGCACGTTACTGCAGCAGCACGTCTTGCTCGCGTAAGCTGCTGCTTGGCCCTTCCCACGAGACGCGAAGCAGCAGGGGAGCAGCTGTCACCGACCGAACACGAAGTCACTCGAGTGACTTCGTCAGTAAACACAACAACAAGCAGGAGAAAATTGCAACATGGTTTGTGTTTTATGTTCTGTCCGTTTTATAATCGCCAATACGGACCTGAAAAACAAAGGAGACCGCTAGCTAGGTGATAACTTCTCACGGGGACGCACAGTTAGTAACCTTTTTTAAAAGTAAAGCAACCGGAAGGCAGTACGTTCTTTATTCTGAAAATCTCGGTAGCTTCTCTCCATTTCCGCGTCCGATTTCCTGTCTTTCCTTCCCCAAAAATGTCGAACTTGACCCGTTTCAGAGGCGTCGCGCGTAGAAAATAGAACCGGCGTGTAAAGGCCGCGACATGCTGCTCCTGAGACACGGCCGACTCGCGCTGCCGACGGCTCCAGTGGAAAAGGTTCTGTTGACCACAGCGGTTCCTATCAGCAGCTATGACGTGCTGCTGCAGTAACGTGCTGACGGCTCCCGTGGAAAGCCGGGGTGAGACATTTCGCCGGAACCGGAAACTTGTATTGTCAGAGAAAATGAGATAATTCTAAATACTAGTCGCCATTTTCAACATCCAAGCGTTTTTGTTGTCAGTGATTTCAAATGGTGTTTTTGTTGGGGGGGGGGCTGTGATAGTGATGTGAGCAGTAGCTCAACAGGTTGAGCGGGTTGTCCAGTGATCGGACATTTGCAGGTTCGATCCCTGCTTCGGACAGAGAATTCTGCTGTTGTGTCCTTGGGCAAGACACTTAACCCACCTTGCCTGATGGTGGTGGTCGGAGGGACCAGTGGCGCATGTGCTTGCCAGCCTCGCCTCTGTCAGTGCGCCCCAGGGCGGCTGTAGCTACATCGTAGCTCATCACCATCAGTGTGTGAATGTGTGTGTGGATGGATGAATGATACACTGTTGTGTAAAGCACTTTGGGGTCTTCACTCTGAGAGGCGCTATACAAGTGCAGGTGATTTATCATTTATCAATGTTCTAAAGTTGAAGTGGTAGCAGCTGGCTGTTTCTCCTCTGATATTATTGAGTGGAGAGCCTTTCACACCAGTGGTGTTCTGTTGCTAAACACGTGAGTGCCTAATAAATGGAGGACCCCGGGAAGTGTGTAAGTGAAGTGGTTCAGTAACTGGATCATCCAAAAGTTGCTTTTGGTCCAAAATGTGTTCATTGGCGGTAGTTTTTAGACATATGCAAGAGAACTACTTTTATTTTTTTCCACACAAAATTTATTGCTATACAATGTTAAAACGTTGTTATGAGGCATGAAAAAATATATTTTAAACAAATGTGTTTTCCAAATTTCTATTGCAGCATTACAGCAGTGAGTGTCAAAAACAACAACTTCGACAGCAGCTGCTAGTCCACCAATGTAAAGTTTGCCAAATCAGTTCATGCTGCTAAAAATACAAAAGAAATGATTATTTTTTAACTTTGATTGAGACAAATGTTTCATCGTCTTTCTTCATTAGGGCTAAAACATTTCCTGTGCTTCTGTAATTGCTTCAGTTACTGACATGTACGACTACAACTGGGTTTACCATTAAAAAAAATTCCTTGGGTAGGAAGTGATCTGACCAGCAACAGTTTTATGGAACTCAAAAGTATTCAAAATTCAATAAATAAATAAGACATTATGAAATAAATATCTACACAAAGAAATACTAGACATTCATGTAATCTGACAATGAACAGAATGTTATGTCAAATCTAAGCTCAATATTACAAAACATTTTTCATTCTTCTTTTAAAATGTCTTTATCAATATAATGTTTTTTTTCAAAAGTCATTTTTCATAATAACCCAAATAAATTTTGAGCCATTTTTATTTAATTAATTCAGCTTTTATTACATAACGTCTTTTTAACAAAGACAGCTTTTATTTCATAATAGTGTTTTTTCACATGGCTGATTTATTTCATAATGAGGCTTTACAGCAGAATGTCTCAGTCCGTCAGTCAAGCCAGTGGGTGTGACCTGCAACACCATTGGTTAATCCTTCAACATCGTTTGGTTTTCCTGGATTTCTGCTCACCGTGCATGACCGGACAGTTTAAAGTAGATCTCTGTAACACCTTCCTAGGCCAATGGTCATGAAAGATGGAGGCGTTGCCTGAACTTAGTTTAGCTCTGTTTTCTTTGGCAGATCAAATTGAGTTGAATAGTTTGTCAGTAGACGATATTTTGAGTTGTTTGGATGACATTTTTGAAGCATTTGGTTTGATACTTTGTGAGTGATTGCTTTTGTCTGACTGAATTAGCAGCCAATGACACTGGGTCCACCCCATTAGTCTTGACTGACGAACTGAGATATTCTGCTGTAAAGCCTCATTATGAAATAAATCAGCCATGGGAAAAAAACACTATTATGAAATAAAAGCTGTCTTTGTTAAAAAGACGCCATGTAATAAAAA